CATTGTTTAGAAGTATATAGTTATTTAAAAGTATATTATATACTAAGTATTAGAGCTATTAATGGAGTACACCATACTATATTAATTATTTAAAAGCATAATTGATTAATGATGTGTATAATGCAAAAAATAATGAATAAATAAAGTAGTTAAGATCAATCAAATGATCCAGTTATTACCTACTATTATTACTTATTAATACTTGATCAATAGGCAAAAGATATAAATAATATTACTAAATAATGAAATGTTTGAATAGAACCACCCATACATATACATCAATGCCAAAATTATGTATTAAATCGAAAAAAAACAAAATATGAAGAAATAAAAAAAACTTCAGTATCGAATAAATCTTTGGAGCATAGTAATTCAGAATATACTTATTGGTCCTTTGAAGAACATTTAAATGAAGAAACTGAGAGCATATTGGCTACCAGTCATACCTTGTTAAATGAGGTTAGTATATGTTCTAAATACATTATGAAAAAATAAATTAAGTTGTTTGTAAAAATAACAAAAAATAGTTATAATTATTACATCAAGATGTTAAAAGAATAAATTAAAATAATATATAATTTTATAGTCTAATTAGTTTTAAAAGTTGGATCTTTGTAATTAATTTTATTTTTTAGGCTTTTATCTATAAATTCCTTATTATTTTTCATTAGATATTGACATAAAACTTTAATCGTTTAATAAGTCTAGAAAAATGCTTGATCACGAAGGTATCAATAGCTACCATCTTTTGCAGACATCTTCAGCTAATATTATAGAAGTTCCAGTTAATTATGAAGAATCTGATGTAGATTCATTATATGAAATTACTGATAATGAACTATTATCTGAGGCTTCAGTGGATAGTGATGAATCCGATATAGAGGTTTTAACAAATAGTGTATTAAAAAATATGTCTTCTGATTTTAAAGAGTTTGATGGTGAATATGGACCCTATTTTTCAAACTTTACATCGATGTCGATTTTTACTTGGGTAACAAAGCATATGGTTTGTAAGTTTAGTAAAAAAAAATATATGTATTAAAGGTAGTGTTTAGACTCGAATTGACTTGTAACTTAAAAAACATAGTCTTAGCTCGGTTTTTTAAGCTACAAATTGACTCGAGCCTAAACACTAATTAAAGAATACTTTTTAATAAGTACAAAAAAAAAAAAAGGATCTTCTATAGTATAAGTAGGAAAATAATAATTATTATAAAATAATAATATAAAAACTATCAATTTTAAGTTAATTTAAACTATAAACCTAATCTTAATTCTAACTCTAACCCTAACCCTAATTAAGCTTAAATTAGTTAAAATAGTTAGTTATTTATATTATAATTTTATAATAATTATATTTGCCCACCTATAGTATAGTTCAACCAAAAAATTTTTAACCATATGTTAATACAAAGCATGTGTATATAATATAACATATAGCGACTTCTGAGTATGAAGATCTTGTCAAGATAATTACACATCTTAAGTTTTGAAAGGAAGATGTTCCTATAAATATTCGGCAGGTTCAGAAATAGAGAAATAGACTACCCTTGGTTGAAATACGTCAACATAATGTGCCTCTTCATATAGACAAAGCTCTATCCACTTGTGAATATACAAAGTAGGCATTTACTATTTCTCCATTAATACATTTAAAGCGTGTTTTAAACAATTCTGTACTTATGCCAAAAATGTATTTTGGTCCTAGTGTAATTACAAATGAAAAATGAGAGTTTTGGCATAGTGAACTATGGCAGGACTCTCCATTATTCAGAGAACATGAAATAAAAAGCGGCGAAGGTTAACATTTCATATAATCTTCTTATTTTACTTTTATTTTATTAATTTTTTTTTTGGTTTTATTAGAGTTCTATAGAGCAGAAGATTTTTTAATGCATCATGAACAATCCTCGATATTTATTTGTCGAGTTCGTGGTGTAATTGTTGACGAAACTGATAAAGATTCTCTTAAATTAAAAGTCGATATTATTTTTTTGCATGAAAACCTTCCTAGCATTTGTTCTACTGATAACCGTCATATTCGTGAAAATAGTAAAGAATTATGGCTAAATGAAGAGAAAACAAATTTGGTCAATCTAATAAATGTAGAACAACGCATTAATGTTTGATTATGTGATATGCTGGAACCTTCAGAATATGAATTTTATATTAAAGAAATAGTGTATCATTTCAATGATAAATAGAAGTATCATGATATAAAAATGCTCATAGACTACCTTGTGAAAATATTACACTCATGCCTTCATCACCACATCAGCCTATTTTAAAAGTTTTTTTTGATATCTATGTTAATGATTTTGGTACTTTCAGAAATGTATATCATTCATTGGATGGCATTTATCTTCAGCTTGGCAATATGCCATTGGAACTTCAGAAGCAACTAAAAAATCATTTCTTAATTGAATTTGTTCCATTTGGAGCAAATTTCAATAATTTTATTAAACCGATACTTCAAGAACTAAAATGATTAGAAAATGGTCTTGTTATTAAAACTTTATTTGGTAATGCATGGGTTATAGGTCAGTGTTTTTAAATTTGAATTCTTATTTGTCTTCATTTAAGTATATAACTATGTTATTTTGAAAAATGGTTTCAAATAATATCTGTGCCTGTAAAACAAGATTATCCAAGATGGTCCAAAAAGTGCTGATATAATTTAGTAAAGTCCATTAATCTCATTTAATTTTTCAATTTTTTTTGAATTTAAAAAATGAAATTAAACTTAGTAATTAGTTGTTTAAATTGATCCAGGAATATTTTTTACTTAGCGAATGACTGTGGTTTAATATGTAGAATTTTTGTTTGGCTGTGCCAAAAGTCACATTACAAGCACTTTTTGTGATCACCAGGATGATCCTGTAAAACATATAGTTGGTAGCTCTCCACAAAAAACTTTCATTCCTTTGTAATTACTATTCAATTAGATTGACAGATCTAGAGTAAACAATCTTTAGGATTAGGATTAAGTCATATTAGGAGAAAAATTTTAGTCTAATGTGTAGGAGATCTACAGGCATTGTAAAACATAGCGAATTTACAAATATGAATTTAAAAGATTTGAATTTTGTTTTGAAATAGAGCATATAAATGTCTTGTGTATGAATGTTATTTTATGGTTATATTATATCAAGATCATATATTAGTTAATTTTGCAGTCTAACCTTTCTATAAACACACTATTGAAATTATAGAAACTTTTTGGAAAGGTGCTTATAGAGTCTGTGTTTATATAGAAGCTGTTTTATATATGCTTATAATAGTTGGTTTTAAAATAAATGTGCTTATATAGAGAATTTTATATAATATAATTATATAAGAAGGTTTTATTGTATATTTAAAAAGTTACTTACTGGTTTTTTATTAATGCTATTAGGTGGAATTGGCTGCATTACGTCTGATTTGCCACAAGGAAATGATTTAGCTGATGTTAAGTGACATGGCACCAACCATGGCTGTCACACATGTAATGTACAAAATGATCAGTATACTAATTTTAATTATAATTATGTACAAAATGCTCATTTTTACTAGCAGACAGAAGAATGATTCATAGAGATTTAGGGCCAAAATTCCAAAGCAGATAAGGAACGACTAGCAGTAGAGTATAAATTGGTTAAGCCGGGACTATTAAGAATACTTAAATAGGACCGGCATACCCAAACACCACAAGATGTATATCATTCCTTGGCTGGAATAGCACATACCCTTTTAGAGACGACATTTAATGTGTTTAATCTAAATGGTGAAAATGCTTTTCTAAAACATTAGAAAGTTATAGAGAAACCTACCAATTGGTATCGAATGCCTAATCCCTTATGAAACTGTCAAAGTTTCATGTTCTCTGATGTGTTGAGGCTTGTGATGCTAATGCTGTTTATACTTCAAAGATTTTTAAAGCCTAATCATGTCAAGACAGAGATTAAGAATAATTGAAGAGCGAGACAAATATCTAGTGTATCAAAATTATGCACTTGCTGGGCAATTGAAGCCAAAGTATTAAAACTTGCATTTTCACTTTTTATGACAACAAATAGTTATCAAGAATTGCAAGAATTACTTGAAAAAAAATGCAAAATCTTGTTAGAAGTAAGTAATCAAAGTTTAATGTTAATCGATTTAAATACTCTAAACTTAATATATATGTATATGTATGATATATATTTGCATTGAATACGTACATAGGAATTTTGCATATTGGCTACTATGTTTAGTTGACTAAAACAGTAGTTAACTAGCAGGTTCCAATCTCTACTTATCTGACTTTTTTCTAGTTTATTCCAGCCATGAAGATGCATATACGTACGTTGGTTATAAGAAGACTTTCATATGATTGGCTGTTAAATCAATTTAATTTTACATTATTTATACAGTTTAAAGTACTTTTTTAAAAAAAATAAAACTACAAAGAATAAGTCAAAAAGTATATAGAAAGTTTTTTATTAGGATTGTAGGACTTTACAATTAAAAATAATCAAAATCCTATTTTGTTTTAAGAAGTCATTGTTATGCTAATTTCTTTAAAACAAAATGAGATTTTAATTATTTTCAATAGTTGAGTCCTACAACTCTAATAAAACTTTCTATATACTTCTTTTTTTACTTATTCTTTGTAGTTTTATTTTTTTAAAAAAAGTATTTTAAAGTATAAATAATGTAAAATTAAATTGATTTAAACAGCCAATCATATGAAAGTCTTTTTATAAGTACATTGGTAGTAGAATTCAAAAATGGAATAATTATTCCATTTTTGAATTCTACTACCAATTATTCAGGTATTAACAAGTATTATATGTGTTTGATCAGACTTACATATACCAATACATTTTTAATTAATATAACTTATATATTACATAATATTTATATTAATTTTTATTGTATATTGATATTAGCTGTTTTCAAATAACTTTACCAATCTACCAAATTTGCACATGAATGTACATCTTTCACAGCATGCCCAGAATTTTGCTACACTAGTAAACATGTCTGTTGCCATAAAAGAAATGATTCACCGAATGTTTAAAAATATGATATCTCATATGAACTGTAAGGCAATTGAACTTGACCTTACCTGGTGGTACAATATGATATAAGTGTTATGGCATCTTGCTGATGGTTGAGTAGATCCTCGATTTAATACAAGAACAAATGCGATAAATAATCTTGCAAGGGATCCAAGTCTTTATACAATATTGTCAAATTGGTATGTTATGGAAAATCTGTCTGTTTATACAAACGATCAAAGTATTGAAAATAGAAGTGATAGTAAGCATTTGAATTTATTAGTAACAAAATTATAAATATCAAACCTTGATATAATCATTGAGTTGGTAATCAAAATTCAATGTGACTAACATGATAGTGTCTATATGAAAGTTAATTTTCTTATATTTATAATAATTTGGTAAAATAAAATAGAATTTTTTTTTTTATTAAATTGTGATTATATCAAGTTAATGAGATTTGATTGTATTTGAATTATTTGTTAATTAATTATTTTTTATAGGTAATACTGTAGTATGCCATGATAAAAACTTTATTGATATTTCTCTTAGTGGTAAATAGAATAATAGTAAAGTTGAAAGTGTAGGTCTATCAAAGAGTTTAGACACTAAGCATCCATTCTTCCAAGATCTATATAAAGCATATGATGATTACTTAAATTCTAAGGCTGCACTAATAAACAAAAAATTAGAATTTTATAATTTGATCATGTATACTGTTCTTGAAGATAACCAAGATCCAGTCTAGGTGAAGCTTAAAGTCAGTGATTTCGTGAAACTATTTGAAGAGACTGAAGGCTAAAATTGAGTTTATTTTTCAGCATCAAGCAAATAATGGTCAATACCATGCATTTTTTTTATTTAATTGGTTTCAAGCAACAAACAATCTTGACAATATATTAGGATGCCCAATTTACCATATCCAAAAGTCTGAAGAGTCACATTGAACCAAAATCTTTACAATTAATTTTATTGATCATGTTCCTTGTGTACATTTTGTACATAATTGTACAAATACATATACAATAAGACATGACGAAACCAATCGAAGTTATATTTTAAATAAATTTTATTATAATGCAGTATAATTAAAATATATAGTGCAGAAAATATATGTATATATATATTTTTTTAGCTTTTAAGTTAGGTTCAATTATTTTATATATATTACTATATACATAATAAAAACTAATTTTTTTTAATAAGATGAAGAGGTATTTCAGTGGGAGTAGGTAATTGAAAATTAATGCTTCTTATACCATTCGATTTGTCTCATCAAGACGAATCGAATGGTGTAAAAAACCTTCGATTCTTATTAATCTGAATTTAATCAAATATCTAATAATTATCTGAATAAACAATTGATGAATTGGAACTCTACTGTCAATCTGTTAATCCATCACTTTACCTTTCAAGAATTGAAACTATTTAGCCCTAGAGCTAGTAAAAGTTATGCAATAATAAGGTCTTTACGCTTTTTTCTTTACTAAGGTTTTCTTGAAAACAAGAATTATAAAATAGTAAAATAAAATTTGCAATTAGCAATATTTTTAATAAAGTTTTATTATTAGTGAATTTTGATAAATTTTAACTTCGCCAAAATTGGTAAAATTTTTGTGAATCATGTGCTAAGTAGTGATTGGTCAGTCTCTGTGATCTATAAATACTAAAATAGTAAAATAGATGTTATTCTAACTTCATTTTTTTTCGCACTTATCGATTTTATTGTGCTTTATTTTTTAAAATCACCATTTTTATTCTAACTTTGGAATTCACAATTTCATGCTTATTGATTTTTTCATTAATATTTATTTGTACTTATTGTGTTTTATTTTTTGAAATCACTATTCTTTATTCTGACTTCACTTTTTACAGTAACAATACTAGTTCTATTCTGATAACAACATCCAAGAGTGTGTAGTCCATCAGTAATTTATATTTCAGTGACTTTATCCTTTTCAATTTATTTAATATTTTTGAAGTATATAGTAAAGTAATATAGTATGGTGACACCAGCAAAACGGCGAGTCTGTCACTTGTCGATAGGATACATTGTGTAATCTACAAACAGCTTAGTCGAAAAAGGCGTTTAGATTTGGTGAGTAGTATGTTTATGATCATAGGTATTATTATAATGACAGTAGGATATTTATTATTAGGATGAATTTTATTTGAATCACGAACACTCAATTCTCTTTTTGTAGGGCTCAAAGCCTTTATTATATACTTTTGATTACATAGGGCATGTTATACATTCGATTTGTGATATCGCACTTATACTTATTATACTAACTATTGTGTTTATACTTATTATCCCTCGCATACTAATTATAATGTTTATATTGCTAATATTGATTATATTCTCTATACTGATTATAATAATCATATACCATATCCCACTAATCTCCCTTATTATACTGATATCCATTATCTACTTAATATTAAGTATACAACGAATACAGTGTATACTGCTGGTAAAAGCCTATTTTAGGTAGGTGATCTACATAGCGTTAATCTATGACTGTGCCACACTGATTGCCTGCTTAAATGAGCTTCTGACATCACCATCCTACTGCTCACAACAGAAACGCAAATTAGAGTAGAAATCAAGATAGTACGTACAGTTTGTAAAAGAAAAAATTCATCAACCATGTTACTTTAACTACTAATCTCAAATATGCAAAGAACAACACTAGGACAATACTGTACTTACCTTAATTCTAACTATTAAAAATAATTGTTTATAAAAATTAAATTTTGCAAACTTATATTAACAATACGTACTATTAAAATTTAGTATTATTTTCGTATATCTGTCTGAACCTGTACTGGTGTACAGTACTACTTTACTGAATATCTCTATTTTCATAACAAGTTTCAAGATCACATATGATCACACATTTCTCCAACATAACTCATATTGGTAGATTTTTGACTTCAATGTTATTGTAATAAAAATTACCAAGATCATATGTTTCATCAGTATAATCTATTTTTGCTAATTAATGAATGTTTATATTCATTTCTAACAATGTTTCTTTTTCGATAGCAATACCGAAAAGTGCTGATTATTATATTATGATCTGCCTTAGCTGATTTGTTATAATAGATGAATGTTTCATGTTATACTAATTTCGATATAATACTAATATTTAAAATTCTTTGTTTTATTAGCATACCCCATTTTTACTGATTCCTGATAATGAATATTGGATGTTTATCTTTTTTCAAAGATGATTTTGTATCGATTGTGATCTCAAATATATGGTCAGTGAAAACCTGTAAATCGATTCACCATACTAGACTTGGCATCTGAAAAATCTGATCTTATGTAGTATATAATTTCAGTACCACATTTATTAATTGATGTATTATTATGCTAATGCTAGGATTTTCTAGGGTCAAGTCCGGTATGGTGGATTGATTTACAGGTTTTCACTAATCGTCACTCATGTATCACTAACATAATTCATCTTTATAGGCACTTGATGAGTAATGGATGTTTTATGTTTATCCTTATTCTTAGCATTATCTTAATAGTCAATATCATTTCTCACAACTAACAGTTACTAATCAATCTTGACTTTTAAATAATCTTATTAAAGCTTGGCAGCTTCAATAAATCAGTAAACATACACATTTATTATTTATAAGCCTTTTTATATTTATTGTCTTTGGGGTTTTATTATATTTATTCTAATTAAGGTTCGTTTTTCATTTCAGTTTTAATTCTTTCGATTTATTTTCTTGCATCTTATTAATATCAGGTTTTTTTTTGTAATTTCAATGCTATTCTTTTGCTTAATAATGTATATTATTTATATTTTAATAATATTATTTATTATATATATATAGGGATTGGAACCGTTTAAAAATTGCTCCATAGCTCTGGGCCGAATTATGTTGGTTGTGAGCTGGAATTATTCTAATGCTGACCAAATTAAATGATTAAATGATTAATCCCTATATGTATAGCATTTTAAATGTATTTTTAATATATAATAAAAATATTATTAATATATTATTATTTATTATAATTTTAATATAGTTATT